ATCTCTCCTGGTAAGCAGTTACGAAACACACACCAGGTGGAGGGAGAAGGTTTTTGACACTTGTGTTGGACACAAAAAATCAAAGAAAATCAAAACACACTGTTGAGTTTACATGAACTGTTATATCCTTTAATAATGCAAAGGTGTAAACTTCATAAAGTCTTGCTGATTATCTACACAATGACATTAGCATTCTTATTAGTAGAAAAAACATGATCGGAACCTGCTGTATAAATATTCCAAAAACGAGCAGAGAACCCTTATAGCAGATACACGGTGTATGGTCTGGCCTGTACTGATACACAGTGCAGAGGTGGGGATGAGCTCACTCCCTTGGGGATACTTGGGGGTTGCTTTCTTAAAGACTCCTGGCTGGTCCAGGAGCCACAGCCTTCACGGAGGGCCCCAGTGTCTGGCAGGGTCTAGTGCACAGTAAAGCTGTCTCTGGTAGGGTACACCATTACAAGCCACATGCTGGCTGTAATACACCCAAAGGTTTCCAGCTGGGCCCCGGGTCTACTAAGAGCACAGGACTGTGCTACGGCTCTGGACATTTAGGTTGATCTCCCAAGGTCCCTTTAGAAACATTGACACTGTCCCTTCCCTGTGAGTGGGTCGGTGATGGGGCTGAGGAAGACAGACTCTCTCAGCAAGTTCCCTTGGAGTGAATGCATGTGACATCTAACCAGGGCCATCGGAAGAGGACAATGGTGGGACCTCTTTGCCCTCCCTGTTGCTTTCCTTAACTGACATGTGATGCTTATATCACGTTCTTTTCTCTGTTATACTGCCCTTGTGCCCAAGAGCCGTCTTGCTTCACTGAGCTGGTGGGAAAAGGCCGAGGGTCCTGAGCAGAGGTTCATATCTGAGCGAGAGGCACTGTCAGTTTTAGCTTCTGAGCAGTGTGGATCCTCTGTGATGAACACTTGGGGACCCTCGTAGGTGGCGACACAGTTGGCTCTGCCTGCAGACCACAACTCAGGGTCATTTGTATTCCCAAAGGGAAAGGCTAGTCTTTGAGCATTTAAAAAAAAAAGCAGAAACAAAATAGGTAAAGAACCAAAAAGAACATAAATTAAACTTCTGTGGAGATGGTTGGAGATGAGATAGGTAGAGTGACAGGTGCCATGAGAGGGGAGGGGGGAGTTTTTATGCATTAGAAGGTTCATCTCAAAGTTCATAGGCTGATACTATTGAGCGGGGTTTCAGCCTTGGGTCTCATGCATCCGACTGTGACACACCCACCTCCTGTTCCCGGTGAACTGCACAACAGCAACGGGAGTTCCTGGCTTTATCATAAGAGTTTTTAAAGTGTGTTGGAGACCCCTTGGAAGCTGGAGCATTTTGGAAGTGCTGACAGGCAAACTGGCTGATTTATTAGCACTGTGGGGGAGGAGTGTGTCCTGCAATCTCTTTGCTTGTGCTCTTTGGAGCATGTAGGGGGAAGGTGTGTGTGTGTGGGGGGGGTGTTTGACTGACTCACAGTGGATGCTTAAAAACTGCCAAGCATACTGTGCTTGTTTGGTGATGATATAGGTCATGGCTAGAACACAGCCACCAAAGCCTGGAGGTTCAGTGCTCATCTGAAGGAAGCCTCCTACTGGGCCGCACAAGACTTAGCTCTTGGGAGCCAGACACCAAAGCCCTTTCCTATTGGGCACATCACAGATTGGCCTTCTTCACAGAGACAGCAGAAGGTGTTGAGACTGATACCAGTGGTAAAGCACCTTCCAGAATGTTCATCAGCTCCAGGAAAAGAGACGAATTTTGCCTTTTCTCACTTCGTGGGCAACAAGGGACTTAATTTGCCTATCAGGTCAGCAGAGTGCTTAGGCGACTCACCACGTGTGACTCTTTCAACATGGGCACTTAAATACTTAAATGTAGGTGAAGCTAACTACCTATTGAAAGGCGGCGGCGGCGGGCACAGTGTTAGGATAAGGGGCACACATGGCGACCTTACCAATTGGAACCAAGCTTTAGAAGGCTAGAGTTTTTCTTCTGCTGCATTTTAGGTATGAACAGCAAGAAAAACACAAGTATCAGGGAGTAGAAATGTCTCCATGAACCTTGCATAATATTGTTTTTAAAAAATAGTATCGGAAGAAAGATTTCTCAATTCTTTGTTTTTTTTTTTTAACTGCTGTTAAAAAGGGGACAGACTCCATAAGAAGTGACAGAGAAGTATCACTGAATGACAAAATCTCGAGGTGAATCTGTTTCCAACCACCAAGGCCTTTCTTGTTCACACAGAACGTGTGCTCAGTGGCTGTGGCTGGGCACGTGGTCCTGTGAGGTTCTTTCAAAGAGGGACAACTGATCCTTTTCATTGGAACTGAGATTTTTAAGCAAATATAATTTGTGTGTATGTGTGTGTGTGTGTGTGTGTGTGTTGTGTTCAAGTTCCTAACAGAGCAAAAGAAGAGTCACCGCAGAGAAAAGCAAAGAGACCAAGGTGTAGGAGGTGGAACTTCCTCCCAAGGTGGCTGCAGATGTCAAGCAATGGGTCCCAGAGGAAAGGTGGTTGTTGAGACATAAATGTGGCAGTGGGGATGTCCCAGTGACGTCCAAGGTGACAAGTGTGACGACGGACATAGGGAGGGTGTGGGAAGGGGAGGAAAGAGAAGGCAGAGACAGAAACAGGAAAAAAAATAGATAAAAAAAGAAAGGAAAAATAGGTCAAATATAGAAAAAACAAGAATCCAAGGTTAATTCAACTTAGTAAGTTAGGCTGACAAAAGTTAGAGGAGTTCAGTGCTCTATCAACATCATAGGCCAGGTCAGCAGCTCAGCAATGCCAGAAGCAGCACAGCAGGTTAATTCAGGGGCTGGGGCCAGCGAGCAAATGAAATTAAAGTGAGAGAACAGGAGCCTCTGCAGTAGAACAGCAAGGTCAGAGCAGGAGAGTGTTACCTCTTGCTAGGACGAAGCCTCTTAGGAGCAGGCAACGAGTGTGTTCTTCTGTGTCTAGGTTTTTGGCTATGGAGACTGAGATGCAGGGAAGGGCTGCACTATGGTCAGAACACGGGGAGTTTGGAATGCTGAAGCAGACCTGTCTTTCTATTGCGCAAGCCCAACTGTCATGCAGGCATAAGGGTGTTGAACAGCTCACCTTCCACTGCCCTGCCCACCACAGAGTTTGACCACAAATGTACATCTTGTAATGCAAAGAGGATTTATTCTTGAATTCCAATAAAATGGCTAGGATGGTCCAACCAGAGCCATGTCTCTTTAGCACTTGGACAGCAGGCACAGAATCACTGCGGACAAGGCAAGTCCTCCTAACCCTGTCTAGTTCTAGTGAGAGCCTGGATGATATTCTGTAAAGCCTCTGAAGTTCAAGCACTCCCTAGCGTTTTTCTCTCTAACACTGAAAACCTAGAAGGTAAAGTTGCTAGCAGTGGCCAGCTTGGAAACATAGCACACCCAAGCATGCTGCTCATCAAGTCTCACTCTGGAGAAGAACCAGCTTATGGCCTGTTGCAAAGGGTTTAACACAAGCTTCATTACTCCCTGAATCCTCAGGGACTCAAAAGCATGGATCTGGACATGCATGTACGTGACACTCTCAATTTCAAGGGAAAAGTAACCAAAGAACACAAGAAAGGAGAGACAGAGGAAAGGAAGGAAATACCTCCATTTGGACATCCTATTGTGCCACAATGAGGGCAACTTCCTGTAGCCACATGCAAGAACTTTCTTCCAGTTCATGTAGAGACACAGGACCTTAGCCTGAGCCAGAAAGGCCTTTCCAAAGTACAATCAACCAATTGACACTTCTAATCTACACCTCAAAACTCACCTGCCAACTGGCTGGAGGTCCCATACAAAACCCACACCTCCCGACTCACACACACACACACACACACACACACACACACACACACACACACTCACACTCAACCATAAAGAACCACACACAAAGCTCTCAATCTGTTGCTACCCACTTTGGCACATATAACCCTAGAGGGTAGGCTGCCTGTCCCCTTTCTGGCCTGACTTTCCCAGAAGGAACAAGGTTGACAATTGAGGTCAGCAGCTAAGCAAGCTCCCCAGACAGGGCAGGAGGCAAGAGGGACCTGCCCCAGGCTGTCTCCCTATCACACCTGAACATAGGAGAGCACAGGGATGGGGGGGACTCTTCAAAAGGCTGCACCTGTATGGTCTATGACCATCTCTCCTGCCTGTGGTTGGCAGTTGGCTGGCTCTGGAAAGGCGAAGTGATGGCTGAAGAATGCTGAGGCATTTGCCTAATTAAAGGGACTGTGAGAGGCATATGGGCCAGAAATCACAGCTCTCACTTTATTCCCACACTCGAGTTGGTCCTGGATCCTAGAGACAAATCTGCATGTCCTAGGAGCACTGCTGCTACCATGGTCTAGCAGACTGGCTGCCCTCTCTTTGATGGTGTGTCCCCGTATCTATGTTTTCCACTTGCTACATCCCGAGAGGTTCAGTTTGTCTCTAGCACAGCAGAGGCCCTTCACAGATAAGCTTATAGCTAACTGGGCGCCATCTACTCCTTCTCTTGGGGCCACCAGAGAGAAGAGATATAGACCATGGTTGTACAGCTAAAGCAAGGGTCACATAAAAACAGCGTAAAGCCAGTTATGTTGTCCTAGTACGGAATGCAGATGGCAGAGAAAGTCTCATCAAGGATCCTTGTTCAACCAGCATCTAAGGCAAGGCAAAATTTGGGGCATTTCCCATCTGAGGGAGTCCCATAGACTGGTTAGCTTTGACCTTTCAAGGCCAAGTGAGACAGGACCTTTTCCCCAGGATGCTTGGTAAAACTCTCCTGGGGGTCTGGTACATGTCAACCCATTGCACAGACGGGGATAAGGCAAAACTAAGCTTGGCATGAGCAACCAGTCATGAGGATGGCTGTAAGCAAGCAAGTTGTCAGGGTTGTTCAGGCGCATTAGGAGGCGCGGCTTGTGTGCATTAATTCCAAGCGGGGAGGGGGGGCGGGGGGAGACAGAAAACAGACATGGTTGTACCTGGGATAGCTGTGGGCTGGGCTGAGGTCCTGAACACAAAATGAGCTGCCTTGGATTTTCCTTGCTGATTCTCAGCTACCACATATACTTCATACTCGGCATTCCAGTCCAGGGATTTGAGCATGACATGGTCACTGCCGGATGGGAGCCTGATTTCCGGTTTCCACTCGGAGGCGAGCTTCTGGGAACAATTGGCAGGAAGGACAGAAGACACCAGGGAGCTTCAGTGAGAATGTTGGGGAGACTGGCTAGGAGACACAGACTCAGGGAAATTGAAAATCATGGTGTGAAATGTAAAAAAAATGGGAACCGATGTGGATTTTCCATATTGGGGGAACCACCTAGAATGCTTGCCAACACCAGCAATAGCGAACAGCAGTGTGGCGTGGCTCTGACTCGACTCTCTCTCCAACTTCAGGACTGACGGGCTGAAACACTGGCCCTCACTTGCTCTCTCTATACCCTGTATGCAGGGTACAGGGCATACAGGCTTCTTAGAGGAGGTAGAACAAATGTTTCTGGTATTTCAAAATGCTGACCACATCCTGACAGGTGAATGCTACACAGATTCCACTTTTACTGAGAACCTTCTACCAGCCAGGCTGTGCACTGAAGGCTACCTACCCTGTTTCTCACTACATCCCTATATAAGGAACCTGCAGGGCATCACTTCAGGCTCTTACTAAATCTACTGGCAGGGACACGAGCAAAAGATCAGGTGACTTCATAAAGTCCCCCTGCACTCAAGGGTGGATCTCGCCCTATTCAAGCTCCAGACAGCATTTCCTCTTTCATAACAGGGAGCCCAGGAAAGTGTGTGTTGAGCTGGACTGGGGTTTTCTATATTCTGCAGTGTTGTCTGGCCTACCTGTGGCTGACTATGTGAGGACCAAAACTGGGATGTCCATGGGGCCCGCATGCAGTAGCCCACTGTGCTTACCAAACACTGGCCAAGATGTAGGGGGAGATGCAAAATTCTGGAGATTCCCCGTTTTTCACCCAACCTTCCCTCTGTCATCCATGTTTGCCAATGAGTTTGTACTGGAGGTGAGTTTCCAAAGCCATCACAGAACAGTGTGGGAGAGGCCTCCAGTCATCCTGAGACATTTTCAGATGGTTTTCTAGTTGCAAAGCCTGTTACTTCACAGTCTCTGGCCTTTTCAAAAGCCAAATATGCTTCAGGTACAAGCTGGGCACCCAAGCAGGTTTAACAAATATTTAGTGAATGGGGGTGGGCGTCTAAACAAGGCAATGTGTCAGGTAAGAGATGGTCCAGTGATCATGACAGATCCTGGCCTGGGGCTGGAGGAACATGGAGGTGCTCATCCCAAGGCTGTGAATGTTGGGAAAAATGCTCAGAGGGAATTTTTGTGTCCTGTAATCGAGCCAGGAAGCCTGGGCTATGCTCTATAAAGTTAGCTTTGCAGGTGTTGCTATGGTGCTGCTTTCATTTAAAACAAAGAAGCTGAGCTGTCTCTCTTTGCTCTTCCTTCTCTGTCTTCCTTGGCAAACATCATTACAAAAGGGACAACCAGACGATAAGGCAAACACGCAGGAAAGCAAACTTTATGCTATGTAATACATATTAATAATATGTGCTTGCATTTAGCAAACATTAAGCTTCAAAGTGAAAGAGAATGCTTAAAGTCACTGGGATCTAAAATAGCTCAGCATTTTATTTCGTTGTCTGTTAAACACAGCTGCAGTGACAGTTCAGGCAAGCACGCATGGAGATTGCCTCCCTACAGGAGAGATTTCCACCTAGGCCCCACATCCTGGTTACCATTTGAAGAGGTTTCAAAGTTCCAGAACATTTTGGAATCTTTGCCTATATTGTAACTAATCTGACATAAGTTATTTTATTCCTATTTTGCAAAGGACATGCTGGCAAATGTCAAAGCTGGAATTTGATGTCATCCTGGCTCATAATAGCCAGAGGTGTTCTACCCTAGTTCAACTAGGCTATTCCTACTCCACCTGCTCCAAGTAGGTTATTTAGAGCCACCTGGCAAGTCCCGGCATCCTTCCCTGCAGTAAGGAAACCACAGGGCCTCCCATACAGTAGTACCTCTGGGCTGGTCCCATGTGCCATTTCCACTGGAGCTATTCCCAGGGAGGCAGAGGATGAACAAACTTCCTGGAAAAAGCCTCCTGGAGAAAGCAAGCTGCTCTCTGGTTCATGATCTCCAGCTACTAAGAAATCCTAGTAATGGGTTTTTCCCAGTGCCCAGAGACTGCCCTTGCCCCAGGCAGTTGCTTGCCAAATGTCATTCTGAAACTGGAAAAGGAGTGATTTTCAGTTTGGGGGTTGGTGATGAAAGAAGGAATAGTTGCGATCTCAGGTAGGTAGTGAGTGAGCCAGAGGGGAAGCTTGGACAAGCTTATTGTCAGCAGTTACACCGGCCAGGGTGCCAAGGAGACCAGGCAAGGGATCCAGCTTAGGATCTTGAAGTAAGTCATATGAGAGTCTGTCTAGGCATCTCAGTTCCACACTCGGCCTCAACCTACTGACAGTGTGAGACTGTCAGTTACCAGCTGTTGTTGCTCTTCTGCAAGAGTCTTCTGCAAGATGCACAGTAGCACCCTGTCCTAGCCTCACCTCACCCTGGATTCTTGAGTTCTTGATTCAACAAAGCAGGTATCAGGGTCTTAGGGTGTGTGTTGGGGCGGGGGTTGGGGAGTAGACTGAAGATGGAAGCTACTCACCGCTCGGTACTTGACCAGATAGTGTCTGATGGGGGAGCCTCCGTCATCCTGCTTGATCAGGTTCACCTTGATGGAGTTCCCGTCCTCTCCCATTTGCCCTTCCAGCTTGGGTGCACTGGGTTCCCCTGAAATAGCCAGTACATTTACATGAAATCCAGGTCCACAGAATGGTACATGGGCCCATCAAAATGGGATGGAGTGATGCGGTGGGGCTGGGTACTTTTCTTGCTCTTTCAGAAATTCAAATGGTTAAGAAGCAGTGAGTTTAGAGCTCTGAACCCCACCTAGTCTTAGCTGGGGGTGCTTGGTGGGAATGTTCTAGAAAACACTCCCTATGAGCACAGTTCTTTTTCTTTCCATCTCTCTCACCGGTACTCATATTTCTTCCTCCGACTCTGCAGGTTTGATTTCTAGAAACCTGACATATCTTGACAGAGTGCCTTAAATATGGGCAAATGTATTCAGGTCTGAGTAGGAAATTTAAAAACATAGAATTGCTTTTCAGAACAGCCCTGTGCTTTTATCCCTGCGTACATCATAACTCACCCTAGTCCCGAGGGCTTGGTCACTGATGGGAGTGAATAGTGCTGTGTTTTTGCAACTAGCTTTGCATGAATTAAATTTTATTGCTTAGGATCACTTAAAAATACGTTTCCAATTGTGGCTAAATACAACACAAATTGCCATAGGCAAGTTTCCTGTGACTGTGACTGTAACTACATTTATGGCTCAGTCGAGTGAGAGATAATCTCTGGCTTTTTAAGGTATTAAAGCAACAATCATTGCAGTCCTTTTCTTTGTGAGAGGAGAGGGGGTGAAATGGCTTTAACATTTTACAATAAGAAAGATAAAAGTTTCTTGCTTCTCTCTTTATTCGGAGTTTAAATGCTCACTCAGATGGTAGCATTGTGAATCTAAGTGGGAGAAGGAAGATGAACTTGTGTGTGATGAACAGACAGGGCCAGGATCGTTCTGTAGTGTGTGCTGGTTTACTGTATGAGACGCTGCCCACGTACGCTGGATGAGCAGATGAGGAAGTGTAATATAGGGTTGAAATTAAAACTCCATACTTGTGAGCAACCAGGACTTTCAGATAGGACCAAACTCTCTAATCAATTTCCTTATCTTTCAGGGAGGCTATAGATTATTTTCTAAGCAGGTTACTGTTAAAAAAAAAATGGGGCTGTGATGGGAAAGCCAGGGAGGGTCTTGCTAAGAAGCTAATTACCTCACACTGCAGCCCTAGCCATACAAGGAAAGCTGCTGGGAAAGTTGGAGTTTAATCTCGTCTCCTTGTTGAGCTGTTGGGACCCTCCCTTGGATTTAAAGGTGGAAGCAGAGAGAACAAACTACTCAGAGCCCTCCGAGGCATCCCCTGAGACGTAGCATGCGCATCAGCTGGAGCTGGTTAGAGACTCAGACTCCTGCCGTCGCAGGACCCCTTGGTGAGATGTTTGCTCAGGTATGCTTTGAGAACTAGAAGAAATGAGGGGGAATGTATACTGTGACAGGGAGGGCGCATAATCTTGATGGTATTTAGAAAAAGTCAGGCTTGGTATCTGTTCTATGGTTGGGAATTTAAGAAACTCAAAAAACAGAATGCAAAGATAAATAGGTTTTAAAAAAATACTTGTCCTGATTTTTGAGCTAGAATGTAGCCACTATCCTTAGTTATTTAGAGGAAACCATTTAGGCCCAGTTTGGATATATCAAACTCTGTAGGCTTTTCAAATTCCTTTGGGCTTTTCTATCATCTTAGGCAGTAAGTCAGTTGTGTCTACACTATTATAAATGTCCAGTGGGACTCAAAGCAGAGTTTAGTTTAGAATAAGGCAAAGCTTCTGGGTAGATTCCACAGTGCTGAGTACAGCAGCACTGAAGGAGCCATGAAAGAACTCAAGCGGCTTTATTCTCTGACAGCATTAAGGAGACCAACTCATCCCAGGGATCCTCAAACATCACAGGTTTTAGCACTGAAAGTTCAATATCCCGGCAATATCCTTAACCCTAGGCTAACTGAGATGGTTGGTGGCTAGGACTGAGTGGGAATGGTATTATAGATTTCTGCACTGAGAGTCACAACATGAACTGTGGTGGATGTTCCCTGAGGAAGGAGGGGATTCATCAGGCAGCGGAAGACCAGAGGCTTTGCCTGAGGCCTTCTTAGAGTGAGATGGAGGGGAGTCCATCCAGCTGCTTCATTGAACCCTCCTCACTATTTCCTTCCAAAATGGAGTATTCAAAGCATACCCACAGTCTCAAGACCTTAAACATGCCCTCTGAACTCTGATTCATGGGAAGTATGAAACATCCTCTATATCGCTGCCTTGCTGTGTCTCCATACTTGCAGAAAGGGGCACAGAATCAAATGTAAGGCCCCTTGCACCTCTGCCGTCCACACATGGGTTGATTTAGGGGGATTACCAACTCTTTCTTGACTAGTCTTCACAACACCATGAGGGTGGAAGACATAATAACTGACCTTTAGCTAGCTTTTTTTTTTTTTTCCAGGAGACACACCCTAAGATCACAATAAAACACACAGTTGTCAACTTCTTGCTTTACAATTTTGCAAAGTATTCTTTAAAAAAAAAAATCTTGTCTTTGGAAAGAGAGTTCCAAGTCTCTTTAAAGGCATGTGGATGAACAGACAGCTCTTCCAGGAGTCCCTGAAGACCCCAGAAGCCCTGTTGAAGGCAGTCTCTTATCTCTAAATTTGTTTCAGAAACATATATGTATATAATTAGAATCTCAAAACAACCCCTAAACTCTGTAACCACAGCTCTAACATTTTCCAAACCCAGAAGGGAATTAGCTATCATTCTATCTGACAAGGTTACTCTGATACATATTTATTTTCTCTTGGAGATCAGAGCATTTTATATCATGTAGTATTTAGGTTATCATTTAGAAAGCTGTATCTATGATTAATCTATGATTAATTTATCTATGATTAATAATGCTGTATTGAGTGCTCGAAGTTATCTATTAGGCAATGATATCTCAAAGATGAATGAGACTTTTTTTTTTAGCAAAATGAAAACAAAATATAGTTATGATCATTAAAAAAGATAGTGTGGTCCTTGGGCAGTAGAATAACCTTTCCTGGGACAGCATGCCTAAAGGAAGACCATTTTCAGCTAAGACAGAACTTGGGACCAATTTGGTGGCCCTATAAGCTTTTGTAAGTATATCAATATTGGGGCAGAGCAATTGTTCAACCAGTTCTCTTAGGCACCTTTGAATGCTCACTGTCTGTTTTTTTTTTTTTATTGTAGATTAGGAATGGGGCTAATGAAACTGTCCTCTCTGCACGAAGCCATGCTTGAAGGAGAAGGGGACACTGCAGAGGCAATGGGGCCTCATCATTAAAGAGGCACACTGCTTAATTGAACACATTAGCAGAGGAGATGATTTAGGGGGTCCCAAGGTTCTGAGGTGGCTGCTGCTGTGATTGAAATCATTACGGGCAATTTCAGTAAAAACCAATATTGTAATTATTTGTAAATGTTGGCTTGCCATTCATCAGCAATAGGCATGTTGCTTTAAGAAGACCCCTGGGGTTAATTATACCCTTTGAATTTAGCTTCATCTAGGATTCAATGTTTTTCCCTACAAATATTTTATGTTGAAGCTGAACACAGTCTTACTTTAAAAATAAACTTCGACAATAACAAATATGAAATTCTGGACAGTTCTGATGTTTTCCAGCAGAACATAAGTCATGCATGCAAGGCAAAAATAGTATAAAAAAGGCCGAGTACTGTCGGATACACCATGGGCAGGCCTATGAGTGCCCTCCGAGAAACCAAAATTGAAACGTTTATTTCTGGCCATGGAGATTACAGGTTCTTTCTTTGGAATTAACTGAGGTTCTGAGTCCTTCCTTAAAGCTGAGCCTGCTCATACCTTTCCTCTCCTCAGCAGGGGCCTGGAGGTGGAAAAGATTTTACAACAAAAATCATAGCAAGCCTGGGACTTGGGGAAGATTCTGTGAACTCTGAAAGGAGAACAAGACTCCCTGTTCCACTCCGGGAAGCCCAACGCCACCAGCATGCTGCACATGAAAGACCAAGGGGCCCAGCTACCCGTCACGGGCTCCATCTCTGTTCTTTGTTCACACATTTTAAATGTTTGTTTTTAACGATGCATGTATGTATGTTTGCGAACATAAGTGCACATAGGTGCCCACAGAGGTCAGGAGAGGGTGCCAGATCCTCCGGAGCCACAGTTACGGGTGGTTGTGAGCTGCCCAGTGTGGGTGCTGGCACTAACGTGGGTCGGAGTCAACATTCCAGCCCTCGATCACTCTATCTTCCCTTTCATCCAGGTCTGCACTGGGGTCTACATTCTCAGCTCTACTCAGGATGGATCTGTACTTGGTATTGAAATCTTGTATTTTTACTCTCAAATAACATTGTTTTGAATTAAAACCACTACTCATTTTGCTTATCCCAGCTCCTTTGCTTAGTTATTTCTTATCAGCAAATTTAACTTTGGGCATATCTTTTTTTTTAATTATTATATGCTTCTATATAAAAGTCCAGAATAAATGATTTCCCTATTCACATGGGAAGCCCATTTCATGTCTCCAGCTCAGACACATTACGGGTTCCATTCAAGGAACAGTATTGACAGGTCCTTTGGGGATTAGCAAATTGCCTTGGGGAATCGGGATTTAGAGTGATTAGACCACTAATTCTCCTTCCTGAAATGGGAGTTCTTAGCTAGAGATGTCAAATGAATGACTCTAATGTGATGTAGGCTGTGTGTGCTCTCGGTCCTTATAACTCTCCCTGACACTTCTCTGGGGATCCCTCTCTAGATTTCCCATACTTCCAAAGCTTAGCTCACAGTTTGTTAAAGACAAAGGTGACAATTTGTCTTCAGCATTGTTCACCCTAAATGAGGTCCCTGGGGACAAGTGTGTTTTTTCTTTGGGGTTAAAGATATGCTTGTCCTAAGGTGACCTGACCTTTGCCACCCGAATCCCTGGCTTCGGGGGATTCTGCAAAAGTGGGTGCCTGGTACCTAAGAAGGGTTTCAGAGTCCCCTAATCCTGGAATTGCACAAGGTTGTGAGCTGCCATGTGGGCACTGGCAATGGAACCCAGGTCCTTTGCAAG